AGTAATTCTGCACAAGCTTTACTGGACAATAATCTATGTTGCTAAATAATAAATACAAAGAGGACACAATATGTCAATTTATAGTTTATAACTTTAAAGGTAAGGCCTAGGGTTGAACAATATTTAAAAAAAAAAAAAAAAAGACATCCAAGATTTCGTTTTCTAGTGATACAGATTGTGACATAAGAAAGAAACTACTTTCACCAGGTGACTTCAATAACAGGTACATCATAGATTATTTAATATTTGTTATTTATGTTTGCTGGATTCAGAGTCCAGAGTGCTAACCATTACACAAGGGCTGCAAGGTGTTGGTAGCACTGTTTCCTCGCAGCAAGAAGGTTGCCGGTTTGCGTCCCGGTGGGGACACCGGAATCTTTCTGCGTGGAGTTTGCATGTTCTCCCCGTGCAGCGTGGGTTCTCTCCAGGTTCTCCAGCTTCCTCCCACACAGTCCAAAAACATGTTGAGGTTAATTGGTGATTCTAAAACTGTCCGTAGGTGTGAATGTGAGTGTGCTTGGTTGTCTGTCTCTAAGTGTAGCCCTGTGATGGACTGGTGACCTGTCCAGGGTGTCCCCTACCTTCACCCTAAGTCGGCTGGGATAGGCTCCAGCCCCCCCGCGACCCTCGTGAGGATTAAGCGGTGTATAGATAGATAATGGTTGTTTATGTTATTTATTGTCTTTTTTGTTTGTAAATATGCACATAAATAACTACGGGAGTGGGTTACTGAGTGACTGATGGTTGAGATGGAGAAGAGGTAGGAGCTTCGTCCTGCTCCTTTTCAGATATGTTGGGTTATTAGATGTTGCTTTGTTTTGCTATGTTTGTTTGTTTTGTTGATGTTTTGAATATTTGGATTTGTTTTGTGGATTTTTTTCCCCTCACATGTCCGAAATATAAAAAAAAAAACATTAATTTATTCATTCAATAACTGTATTGAAAAGAATAAATCATTCTAGAATAATTGGAGTGATTTTGTAGGAATGTGCATCTGTATAAATAATACTAAATAATTACATGAGAGGTGAAAAATAGAGCTTTGTTGTACTGATGTAATTGGTCAAGCTTACTGCCTCGAGTTGTGGCAACAATTGCAAAGCCCTGCTGACTGGGTACCTGTTTTTGATCAACATCATCCTTTCTGTTGCTGAAATATTTCTCATCCAACAGATGCAGCATTTCTTTTTGCAAACAGATCTTCCGATATAATGTTTCTTGCTCATTTCTCCTGTGGACATGTGGAGCTTGCCAACATGTCCTGTTTCTTTTAAATCTCAGTCAATCATGTTCCATCAGACAGACTCCTCTCGTAGATTAGTCATGGAAAACTGGAGCCGTGCGAGTTTGCTTTTTATATAAACCAACAAAAAGCTGTTGTAGCATGTGTTTGAGTTCATTTGCCTTACTTCACATCACACTTCTGAAATGTGATGCAAGTGCAAGTTGCAATGTCAATGCTGAGACAATATGTTGTGGAATCCCAGTAATGCCAGTACCTTTTGGATACACATTTTCAAACAAATATCAAATTAACTTTCCACATTTTTCCAGAATTAAGAGGGTAAGAAGCCCGGGCTTTTGGCGGTGAAGGTCTGAGAAGCAATGTGGTGTCTACTTACTACCTGGGAGGTGTTTGCTGATGATATTTGCGGTCTCTGTTGCCCTGGCCATGCTGGAGTGAATGAGAACATCATACTTCAGTCCCAGCGCCGCCAGCCTCTGGCCCGTCAGCTCGGCCTGTTCACGGCCTGAATGTGAAGAGACAATGGCTGGTCTGTCAGACACTTTTAGGACAATGCACACAAACACAGGCTGTTCCTTCAACAAGTGGGCGCTACGGACATTGATACACAATCACAGACTGTTTGAAATCACCCTGCAGGCTTTCCAGGTGATAAAATAGGAAATAAGAACCTAGTGGAGTGAGGATCCTCTCCTTGTCACTGTTCCCACTCAGGTTGTACTGGGAGTGTCTGATGAGGAGGATGTTGCGTGTGGCCTTTGGCTTGCCGTTGTCCTGCTCTGAGCTGGGGTCTTCAGTTACGCTCTCCTTCTTCTTCCCATTGGACAGGGAGGATGGGTCCCTCCTGGACAGAGTTAAAACGAGGGGATATTGAGATTAGGAGTAGCTTTGTCTAACATGGTTAGCTTGAAGGATGAAAAACTGGGTTAACACTACAGCTATGATTGCAAATCGTGATCAGTATGAAGAACTTCCATACATCTGGTTTGGAAAATCCCTACGCCAAACTCAGTTTTTAAAAGTGGCTATTTAAAATAAACTCTCAGTATTACTGCTTGTCGAAGAGTAATGATCACGACGTCCCACAAATCCTCACGATCATCCCTTATATTCGGCATATATTCAAAACACCAGTTAGTTAGTTTAATTTTAAGAAGTTCATTTTATCCATCGTGCACATTCGCCTAAATCAACTTTAGCTTGACTGTGGACAGCTTCATCTGAACTATTTGACGCGACCCTCTGTGCAGAAGTGACAGGAGGAAAATGGAGGAAATGTGACGGTGCTAGCTACAGTCAAACTGCCAAAGAGTCAAGAGACAGTGTGCGCCCAGGAACTTACTTGTCCCAGTTGAAGTCCCAGGCGTGTCCAGTCGGGGCTGGAGTGTGGCTGGCAGGTGTCCACGCCGGCTGCGCAGCTTGAAGGACGTTGAATCTCGACCACCGACCGGCCGCCTCTTCGCTCTGCTCACCGAAATAACCGCGGGAGTCGGCGACGGCGGCAGCGAACAGGACGGCGGAACCTCCAGCGAAGCCGCAAATAAGTTTCAAAGTTTTCCTGTAGGACATGCTGCGAGCCGCCCAACGAGCCAACTAATGCTAGCTAATTAGCTGAGCTTAACGAGGTGCTGTTAAATAAGTGTAAGGATGGTTCTCCTCAAAAATGTTTGGCTTTCTGTCGCTAAATGGCGGCTGTCTGTTAATTCCAACTCCAACAAGGTGGAAAAAAACACAGTTTCGTTTGTAAACCGATCTACCAGACACTGGCTCTTGGATGGAACTAAAAATACTGTCAGTACAACAGATAGCAAGCTAATCTGAGCAGTTTCCTACAAACATTACGGCGGCCGGTCCGGGACAAAACTGTTGGCTTTCGCGAAACGCTTAAATTCTGATTTGTGCCACACGGGGGCGCTGTAGTCACTGATAAATCCACAGCAGTGATTTGAGGAGGCTCCGTGAACTCCATTCAACATGCTGCAATTCAGTGGGGAGCTCCTGAGATTTACTATCTTGATTTCCAGTTGCAACCGCTCCAATCCACACATAACTGACTGCTTCTTCACATGGTGCTGTATTTGTGTGGGAAAGGATGGATGATGGATGCATATTGGTAACCCAAAACTAAACCGAATTGAAAGGTGGAAGTGGATGATTTTTTATTTTTAAAAAAAGAGCAGCTAAGACTGGTTTGATTATGTGTATACGCTAGTGATTGATCAAACCCATAATAAACTGACAGATTCTGAATGTAGTTTGGTGTTGCTGTGTCTATAACAGCAGATCAGGACCTGAGCTGCCTGCAGTCCATCAGCCAGTGTTCTTAAACTTTAAGAGGCATTTAAATTAAATGCACGTACAACATGATTGTTGGAGTCGGTGAGCATTTTTAGGGAAAGCGGAGGTTTATAATGCGTAAAAATCACAATTGGGAGTAATCTACCCACATTACAGCTCCGAAAATGCTCCAATTGAGGGTTTGCAGCGAGGCTCCACCTTTTCAAGCGGTTCAGTGACCTCACCAGTGGGCTGGATCGTAAGGGTGGGATTTCCAGGCTTTCACAGAGCTCCATGTATTCCTGCCTTGTCTGTCTCAGGATCTATGCGGCTTCAAAGATAGCAAACACGGACTGCTTTGTACCTCTCACAGCCACAAGAAAGGCGCATAAATTGCACCCTGGATCTCCCGGTTTTTTTTTCTACATGCGACTCCAATCGGAATAAATAATTGAGGAATGTGGAAATTACAGAATGCCCAACAGCGCTGGAAAGAGATTTAAACCCACCAAATACATCCCAGTGTCCACTGCTGCCACACTCCTTGTGGGATCGACCACTTTATTTTTCGTTTTCACGTAAGTTTGCATCGCTTCTTATTCTTTCTCAGTCGCTGCGTGCCGGGATTTACGCACAACTGTGTGCTTCCCCTCCTCAAGACTGCACAGGCAAGGCGAGAGAGGATCGTAGCTGGAAGTTTGCATGGGTGGATTCAGTCACTTGGGTGGGATGAGTGGTTTCTGAAGGGAGAATATCTCAAAAGCAGCCTCCCTGTGCAGCCTCACACACACCGCTCAGCCCTAATACCTGCGAGGCAAACTTCCAATAAGCCATGCAAGTTTATCGAGGCTGTGATCGTGCAGGAGACCGCAGCTTAGGCCGCAAACACACACTTTCCTTTGCAGAAATGCCGCAGGCGCTTGTTGATACAATTAAAATGGATGTATTTGCACAGCAGAGAGTTGATTCGTGCGCACTCGGTTGGGACAGCAGTGGTCCCAGTGATCTGTTAGGAAGCACTGTAATCACAGTCTTGCACGGATGCCCAGCTCAGGATCACTGCACCGTGTCTCACTTAGTGTAGTGCAGTCATTTAGGGGTTTCCCATACAGGCAGGGAGGGGGGATTTGGGGCAAACAGGTCTTGATCCTATTCTCCCAAAAGCAGTCAAAGTGATGTGCATGTTTTGACAGCAGCTGCAATCAGGTTGATTACATTGTCTATCAAGGGACGCATACAAGTAGCTTTCATCCCATAAAGCCTCCATCTGATGAATGAGTAGGTGAGAGCTGCCACTGTAGGAAGGAGTGATAACAGCAGGCAGAGTGATGTCTCTGGTGTGAATCATCCCTCCCTCATACCTACAGTGATAACCCTCAGGTGGATGGATTATCAATGAAATCTAACGTCATGCTCGATCTCATATCCGCTGAGGGGCTTTGGAAATCATTGTTGGGACCTCTGACCTATAGATGACAACCAGAAGGATGAATCGCCCAGTGTCCGCTCTGTGTAGACTACTAAAGAACCAAGCTGCTGAATGAATGGAACACCGTACATCACAGCTGCCGATAGGAAACGTGTTAGATGTGGAGATGGGCATGTTTCGTTTGATTTATAGCTGTTGTGTGTGAATTTGCCTTTTTGACAGTGTCAAATTTTCTCCTATTTAAGCATAAATAAGCAGCAGTGTGTGCAGGATTCATCCCACCTGGACTCTTGCAGGATGACTCAGAAAAATGCTTTAGCTGGACCCTGGGTGGTTCTGTCTCAGGCTGGTGCCCGAGACTGAAGGAAACATATGGTGTTTGTGGGTTGGTAGGTTGGATTGTATCTTTAAAAATCCCAGCACTCCTTGGCGTACTCTTTGGGGCTTTGCATAAACAAATGGCCTGATTTACAAGTCTTGATACAGAGTGTATGTATTATGATTATAGTATGAGCTCCACTCATACTGTTGGCACACAGCAGGAATGAGAGCATTTGCTTACACTGCACCTTTTTAGAGCACCTTCTTCTTCTTTGCTGGAGTTCATGACACACTACACTTTAAGGTTCATCCCTGAGCAGATGGTTCAAGGGTGAGGATTAAGACTTTACTCTGTTGCTCCTTCATTTCCAAGTAGAAGGCCCAGAGGATTGAGTTGTGTATAATGGAACCCCCTGGGGAGTAGTACACGTCCAAACTAGGCCATGCCTCCTCGTTCTCCAACACACATAGAGTCCATTATGTTAAGCTCAGTCTTGCCTGGCTGCAGCGAAAAAGCTGCACGGGTTACAGTGCGAGCCAGAGAGCAGCGGTATGCCTTCATCTGAAATCTCTAAACCAAAATAACATGCAACAAGTGCAAAAGCAGGAATGTAGCAGCCACAAGCTATAACAATCAGGGATTAAAGCTAAAGGACTATACTAGTCCCTCGTATACGCACATGTATGCGCAGGATGCCAGGGACACTAATCTTTTTTTATTCCTGGGCCGCAGTGTGTTAAAGGTCTCTCTGTTGCCAGCAGGCCACTCAGTGTCATATGGGCAATGGAGGATGAGACCTGAGGCAGCAGCGTTGGCTCAGACACTCACACACACTGCTCACGGTGTGTTGCTGAGTTTGGCTTACTGACGTTTCACAGTTTGTCTTTCCCACAGAGACTGAATTAGAACACATTAGTGCAGAATTATTTATATTTCCCCACAGCATGACCACGACTCATCACAAAAGAATACTGCTGATATATTAAGCTGTTAGTCATGGTTTAGCCATCATAATATCATCCCCTTATCTGTGACTGTAAAGAGATTCTATTAAAGAGTAGCTTAGACCTTTCGCTGGGTCTAAATTTGTGCCTGCTCCGTGTGGCTGCGCTGAGGAAGCGTTCCTTTACCTTTTAGTAATTCCTCAGAATGGCTTAATCACCCTCCTTGACCATATGCCAAGTGGATAACCTGTCCAGGAAACAGAGCCTGCACGTTATCATTTCTTGCTAAGCCTAATAGTCCACACTTTAGCGTATGCGTCGAGATGTGTGGAAACAATTGATTGATCATGTGGACAAGACCAACGTTCAGCAGTTTTTGCTGTGTGGAGGTGAATTATGAGCGAGGCGGTCAGTAGTTGGAGCCTGCATGTCACCAGGCCGAGAGCAGAGCTGCATGCCGAACAGGCCAGACAGGAATCTAATCTTCGGCTTCCACATCTGTTTCCTCCTTTTCACTGTAGATCCATTGAATCGGACTTCATTCAGATCCCACTGAATGCTTTGTTTTTGCGTTTGTGCTCCGCTCTGAGGTTCTTGTCGAGATTTTAAAAGGTATTTCCGATGTGTCGGTGGAGAGAGTACAGATTTGTCAAAAGGATGGGGTTGACAGTCAAACCATGATGTGCCGTTAGAACAAGGGCTCCTATATTTAACTTTTATAGCTTCTATCTTGGTACGAACTCGTCACGCCTAAACTGTACAGTATGAACAATTTTACAGCCTCCAGTACAGAGATCCTGTTTTCCTTTGAAACATTCGAGAAACTGAAGCAAAGTGATTAAACTGGGTCCGTCATTTACACAGAGCAGGAACTTTGTCTTGTCTTAAAAAACAATCTGGTAGCGTTACTCTGATAGGCTAAGAAATAAGGATACAGAGACATAGATTTAAAGAAAAGACACTAAAGCGGAGTCCCAAAATGACTCTTTTCCGCCTCTGACTGACAGCTACTGTTTGTGGCTAGGTCACTGTGTCCAGTGTTTATAAGTAATCAGTGCTAGCTGAATATGCTAAATGAGGGATGCATGCACGTCTTCCTGTTTACAGGCTAACACTGGCTAGCTTTAGCTTTTGCCTCGCTACTGTCTAGAAAAAAAGTATTCTTCATACAAACTGAAAGAAGGTATACTCATAGAGTCATTCTTACATCCTCAGTGAGCATTTTTATGTTGAAAAGATGTTTACAGGCTCAAAAATCCAAGTAGATGTTGATTAAATGTTCACTTTTAGACCTGTGCTGTATTTAAAAGATGGATGTGGCCGACGCCACCCATTGTTTTGTGGAATACTGTTTTGAAGCCTTGTGTTTAGAATTTAGCTGTCGCTAGAAGTCAGGAGAAATCGGTTACATCGACTGGAGAACCAGCGGACCCTGGCTATGATGATACGGTAGTGACCTGTCAGTCACAAGGTAGCCACACACCAAGGTAGGGCGGCTGTGGCTGAAGTGGTGGAGCGGGTTGTCCTCTAATCGCAAGGTTGGTGGTTCGATCCCCTGCCTCCCACATGTTGAAGCGTCCTTGGGCAAGACTGAGCCCAAAGTTGCTCCCAATAGCAGGCAGTTACCTTGCATGGCAGCTCTGTCACAATTGGTGTGTAAATGAGGGATGTAATGTGAAGCGCTTTAAGTCTCACTGAGGTAGAAAGGCGCTATATAAGTGCAGACCATTTACCTTGAAACATATCCAGCTTTATGGCCTATTTTACTCTAAATTGGACCATAATTTACAAGTTGAACATCATTTTATAAGACAAAAAAGTCTTGAAACTAACATCCATCCATCCCTCCATCTTCTCCCGCTTATCCGGAGTCGGGTCACGGAGGCAGCAGCCTTAGCAAAGCCGCTAACAGAAACTAACAATTGAGGCAAAAAAGTTTACTGAGCTAACGATTCAAGGGAGAAGTGTGAACATTTTCTCAGAGACTTGTATGCAGTCTGACTTTTTTTGCAGCCAGAGGAGTCGCCCCCTGGTGGCTGATAGACAGAATGCAGATGTAATGCGCCGCTACATTGGCTTCACCTTTTAGACGACAAAGGCTGCGTTTATTTTTTCTATCCAGTCTGTGCATTTGGATCATATTTCAGTGGAAAGTTTCATCCTCTAATGTGCCAACAATGACTAATTATTATTTTTAAGGTTACCCAATAGCAAAAAGCGATCTAACAAGGTGGATACATGTTTCTAAGTCTAAGTCTAAACCAGCTAATTGTTCGAACATCTAATTAGATCGGCATTAGAGCATCATTTAATGAATGCAGACATTGAAAATAAAAAGTCAAAATTAATTTTTCCTGTTTTGTATTGTATGAAATTTATCTCCCATTCAAAATGGGATAGTCCAGTGGTGTTGGTAATCCCACATGTGGTTCTCCCACCACGGCTACAACCCTCTCTAAAGTGTTTCATCTGACTACAACATCGAGGTTTTCTGTGTAGTATTAATTGAAGGTCTAAAAGTATAATTGAATGTTTGCTCACTGATCCTAATCCGCGTCCTGCATGTGATTATGTATGCTGAGCCGCTGTCGTCTTTTTGTCAAGGGGTTCGGTAAACACGCTTGTGATCATTAATGCCTCACTGCTTGGTATTAGTGTCCATCAGAGCCCGTTCGCCTTCCTCCTGTGCGACGTTCGTGGCTTTAGAGGCGCCCTGTGTTTGACTGTAGTTAAATGAATTGTTGGTTCGACTCGTCTTGTTTATGCTCGGAGTGGGAGCCAGACTATCTTGGCCTGTTTTAAATATTGCTCATATGACATTGAGGCTGATTTGGTTTAGTTTGTTTATTTAAATGCGTGATTGAGGACATATTGCCAAGTTTG